GTTTTACTACACCACTACTAGGTGCTCAGGGGTCGATACTTCTTAACTAACGAACACCCAAAAGCAAGGCAAAAAAAAAAAAAACAAGGCTTCGAGGGCCCACGCCAGGGGGCCGTAGAAGAAGACCGCCAGGAGGCCAACGGCCGCGGTGCCCGCCAGCAATCCTTGCGCTCCACTTCATGCTCTGCTGGGGCTTTGGCTGGGTTTAGGGTTTAGGGTTTAGGGTTTAGCTTAGGGTTTTTTTTTTGTACTAGGGTTTAGGGTTTGGGGTTTGGGGTTCTTTCTACTTTCGACTTTGTTCGAGGAGCTCCGAAAAAAAGGCGATGGTGGTTAGGAGAGGCTTGGGGAGCTTGCAGGTTTTGCCGCGCTCACTCTGCTGCCATCCTCCTGAAATCTAGCAGATCTGAAAATGCTCGAAACTGGCTCCTCCGGTTTTTCGGACACCTCCTGCCAGGGGAGTTCCCGACTGAATCTTGCCGAGACTCCGAGGAACACAAGCGGAAATCGAGTTGGCTCGCCTCCAGTCAGGAGCTTGATGTTGGATATTCTCCGGGTTTCTATGGGGGCGCTACAACGTGTTTGAGAAGCGTGATATGAAGGGTCTACTTGGAGGTTCATGGGTAGTCATAAATGGGGTTATAAGTCCCCTAATATGGGTTAGAACTATAGTTGTTACTCTACTTATAACCCCATTTATAACTACTCCTGAACCTCCAAGTAAGGCTTCTATGAGAGCTTCTGCTCCACCTAAACCCTAAACCCCAAACCCTAAACCCTAAAACCCTAGACCCCTAAACCCTTTTTGTCCCAAGGCCTCCGGTCGCGGCCATGCTCACTTGTACCGAGCGGCCCTCCGCCTCCGGTCCGGCGCGAGAGGAAGGTTTAGGGTTTAGGGTTTAGGGTTTAGAGGAAGGTTTTTTTTTGCCTCCTACTTCGCAAGGACGAGCCCGCATTGCAGGGTATGTTGACGAGGGTTTAGGGTTTAGGGTTTAGGGTGTAGGGTTCAGGGTTTAGATTTTAACACGGCTGTGAAGATGCTTTGAAAGTCTTACAAGGTGTTTTCATGAGAGGTTTCAAACGATCTTATGAGGGTCTTTGGGCTCTTGTATTACAACGGTTCAGGACCCCGGGCTTGCAGATGTTTCGTACTGTTGATGGACAAAATTCTGCATGACCCACATATAGTATAGTACCATAAATCCCATAGTTTAGGCAGAATAAGCTCATGCAGGATTTTGTCCATCAACCGTATTGTCTTTTGTGAGAGTCCAAGGGCTTGACAGCGGTCATAATCTTTAGGGGATCTGCCTCACCGGAAACCCTTACAGCACCGCTTGTGGAACCTTTATTGTCTTGTCGGATCTTCTAAAAGGGAGCCCTGAAAGTAGCCCTTCAAGGAGCCCTTAAACGGAACCCTATGATACATCCCTTGGAGGAACCATGAGGAACCCCTTAAAGGGAACCCTGAAAAGCACCCCTGCCCCCCGACTGCCTGGAAGCTGGGCGCCTGCGCGAAAGCTCCCGGAGCCTCCTGTGACGCGGTGGTCCGGAGCGGCTGGGGGGCGACGAAGCTCTCACCGGGCAGCAGGACGTACCTCGGATGCTGGGCCAAAAGGGCTCAAAGGATGACAGTAATTTGTACATGAACCCTCTAATTTGTACATGAACCCTCATAGAAACCCTCAACCCGAAACCCCTGTAGCTCTCCAGAAAAGTCAAAGGTGCAGGGCGCAGGCCACCAGGGCCACCACCAAGAGGTTGGCACTGCGCTTTGCCATGGCTAGGAGATGAGTCGGGGTGCTGCTGCCGTGTTGCTGGGAGCTCGAGCCAACTGCACCAGAAAGAAAGTGGGTGTCGGCTAGACTGTGTCACATTATGCGATAGCGCTTGCAACAGATTTCACTGCCAAAACCCTCTTTGCTCAGTCCGTGCCAAACCCTCTAAACCCGCAACGCCTAATCCCAAGTTATCGAAGCTTCGAAGAGTTGCCGGGGCCGCCATTGCCGCTGTTCGGCGGGTACTCCATGGACGAGTGTGTCGCCTGAACCTTGGCATTCCTGGCGATCTCCCGAACCTGCCAGTGGAATTTCGGGTTGAAGGGTTAGGGATTGGCGTTTAGGATTTGGGGCTATATACTAAAAACCCGACTAAATGAACCTTCGAGGAATGTTTCGAGGATGTGCTACAAGCAAAGACAGCCTTTGGAACACAGGTGTTGAGGTTGAGGCCGCTGAGGCCAGACATACCCGTCGCCGAAGCCAACCGGGGGGGGGGGGGCAGACGGTTGAATTGTGAGGTGCACGGCTTCGACTTCTTTGGAGTGCCTCTGGCTTTGCTCTAGAAATTCCGGTGTTGTGCGGTTCTGTTTCCTGTGAGCTGGTGCTTAGGGGTTTCTTTACCACCCGCGCTCGACCAGGTCAGGCGAGGTGTGTGGAAACAACCGAAACACACCAAAGGCTGCTTTCGAGCTTTGTACTTCAGCGATTTAGGGGTTAGGGCTTAGGGTTGTTCGTTTAAGCTCCTGTTTCCAAACGCAGTACCGGGTTTAGGGTTTAGGGTTTACACTCTCACAACTCGGACAAGCCAGGCGCTTAGGTTGCCCCACCTGCTCACATGTCAGCAGAACTGGTCGGCCAAACTCTCAGGGGCATGCACCTATTGCAATGCTTCAGCAACCGCAAGCCCAGAATTCCCAAACCTCACTCCAAACCCCTACCCAAAAACCTCCGTATGGCATGGCCCACAAACAACACCCGGAACCCAAACTACTAGCAAAATGAAAACCTTAAGAGGAGATTCTCGACAACAAGTTCATGGGTAGTTAACTAAATTAGGGTCCCTTTCTAGGTCCCCAATATAGTGCGGCACCCTTATAAAAAAAGGCCCCTAAAAGGGACCCGAATTTAGAGAACTACCCTCATGGTGCTTAGGAGGAAAAAAGGTACCCTAAACTCTAAACCCTAAACCCTAAAGAAGCGCCGACCTCTTTCTGAAGAGTCGGGTCCGGCTTGCTTCGCGGACTTCCGTCCTCGTCGACGTCCTCCTGCTGGAAACCCAAAGCTTAGGGCATAGGCTTAGGTTTTGAGGGTTTTGGGTTTTGGGTTTAGGGTTTAGGGTTTAGGTTTTGAGGGTTTTCGTGCCTAGTGTTTTGGTGTTTTCGTGTTTCGGATTTCGACTCTCACTCTCGCACAAGGCAGGCAAGGCTCCGCATAGTCCCATCACGCTAGTTTCGGATTTGTTCCCTCTCGCGTTGCATAGATTCGAGTTTCGGGTTTAGGGTTTAGGGCTTCGCATTTCGGCATCCACAGTGCTTATTTAGCCATCATGGTCGACCAGTTTACAGTGCAGGGGCTTGGGGATCAGGATTTGCGCCTCAGGCCTTGAAAGCCCGTAGTTTTTTGTTTTCACAACAGCCTCTCGGGCCCCAACTTTTTCTCCTCCAAACTCCCTAGCTGCCTTTTTTGTTGCATCCAGGCCTCTTGAAGTCTTGCCGGGGAAGGGCGAGTTCAGCAGCACTCGTGGCTACAAACTCCCTAGCAAGGCTTGACTCCTTAACCCTTTACCCTCACACCCAGGGACTCGACTTGTTAAGGGTTTAGGTTGCCACTCGCAACTAAAAGCTTTGTACACATCGCCGGGCATACTAAAACACTCACAGAGGCTTGTTCAGCAGGTTATAAATAGCTTATGAGTATCCTAACGGCCGTCATCCAAGCTTCATCCCTTCTTGTTAACGGGACTCTCCGGACCCTCGCAGTAGACCACTATGATGTTATAGGGAACCCTAGAGATCAACATTGCTAGGCCCCTATATACAGCACTAGGAAGCCCTAGTCGCAAACACACATGTGTGCCCTAGAAAAAACACCGAAAAACATATGTCATATCAACATGTACAGTACTAGAAACAATCACAACAGCCCAATTCTGAAAAAACAAAAGCCTGCGTCATAAAATGAAACCACTAAGACTAAAGGACAAAAACGTTTCAAACAGAAAAACATCCGTGGTGGGTATCAAGTGCAAACCGTATAGACGGGTCTATAAAATCAGAGCCGACGCCGGGCCCGCCTCTACAGGGAGCAAGTCGTCATTGCCGCTCCGAGCGCTCTTCGGCGACCTCAGTAAAACAAAACCCGCAAAGTTTGGTTTTCGAGTTTTTTTCTTAGGGGTTCAGGGTCTAGGGTGCTCCTTAACCTGGTTCTAGCACTGGTTTTTGGTCGGTTTTGGGGTGCAAAGTACGGGTTTGAAGGGTTTTGGATTGAGGGTTGTGGCGTTTAGGGGCTTTGAGATTTACCGTTCTTGTTGATGGACAGATATTGGCTCTCTGGACCACCATTTCAAAACAGCGGACGCGATAAAACCGCTATGAAGCCAATACAAAAGCCGAAACCTGACAGAAACCCTATGCTTGCCCCTAGTGAAAATCGGTGGGTTCCTGGCAGAGGCCCACCGTCTTCTTTGGCCTTGGCGCGCATCTGCGCGACCTTCCGGAAGAGCGCCTGCCAGGTTTAGGTTCTAGGGCTTATTTTGGCGGTAGGGTTCAGGGCTTCCGGCTTTTACGGAGATTTGGGGGCCCAAATTCAATTTGAGGCTTAAGGTTAAAACTGGACCCTTTCGGGGGTTAGGGGTTTAGGGCTTTTCCGCTTCTCACAAGCCCAATCAAAGCTTCAGGTTTGGATTTACAGCTGTGGCTATGGCTCGCAAGGGCACGGCCTTGTTGACGCCCTCCGGGTACTCCAATGCCTGCCCCGTGTCGCAGCCAACTAATCCTGACGCTACCTGGAGGTTCATGGGTAGTTATAAGCGGGGTTATAAGTAAGGTAACTATAGCTATAACCCATATTACTTGGAGGTTCATGGGTATTTATAAGTAGGCTTATAACTAAGGTAACTATAGCTATAACCCATATTCCAAGATACTTGGTTCGGGTCTGGAGAGCTTGCTGCCGGTGCTAGGTATGGTCTCAATCCCAAAGTCCCAGCCGGTCCTACCTGTCCTAACCTCCCCAAAAGAAAAGACCCAAGCAGCTCAAATGGCGAACTCAAACACTCCCGAAGCTTTCCAGAACTCCCAGAACTCCCAGAAACCTCGGACCCTGTCCCCCTGCAATCCGAGAACCCCCGAAAGCACGGTACCACGCGCGGGTCCTCGAGTTTTACACTGTACTCTTGCATTCCCTGAGCCGCATTGAAGCAGTCGTGATGATGAGGATTTCTAGTGGCCTAGCGACATCATGACCAGCACCGTCGTCACCTATAATAGCATCGTCAACATCATCATTATGCCCCCCTTGTAGAGGCGAAGCAGGCCTTCGGCTTGTTCAAAGCGGCTTTGGGCCGCGGCTTCATCAAGACAAACCTTCGCCGAGAGCTCTCTGCAACGCTGCAGGGAAAGAGAAGAAGGAGAAAACTTGAAGGAGAGCGAGAAAAAAAAGAAGCGGAGAGAGGCCTGCCTTGCAGGATCTAGCTGCCTTCAAACTAGTCCGAGGCAACCGCTTAACCTGACTTGGGTCACAAAGATACCCAATGAGATCCATAACCTAAGGTACAATTAGAAGATAGGCTCCCTGATAATTAGAAGAAGGCAATGGGACAGGCTCAGTTGGATCCACCCTATGTCGTATCTCTGGAACCCGGTGCGGAAGCGCAATCGATTGCGGCCGTGGATGAAGGACGACAAGTTCAGACACAAGCAGATCTGGCCTTTCCTGCTAACCAATAAGAGACATTGAGGTGATACAGGAACTGGATCAACCGGAAGCGGTCCATGCGTCGGCTTGATGCAAAATGCTGCTGTAAGGCACCACGGCCTTTCAGTGTCTTCAAAAGTTGCACAGTCATTAAAAAGAAAAAGGGTGTCGAACACACAAAGAAGCTACTAGTAGTATGGAGAACGACGAGGAATTCATGCACCTGCGGAGTGAGGATGGGCCCTACAAAGACAAAGACGAAGAAGGAAAAACACGAAACGCGATGACTCTGAGGCACACGCTGGTTGGACACGATCTTGCCGTTGTGAACCTCTCAGACTGGTAATGAGACGCAGTGGGCCGCCCAGGAACACCAAATCCGCCAAAGCCAGAAAAATTACGGATAGGGAAGACGAGTCGTCGTTATCATAAGGCAGCACTTAGCTTGTCTCAAGCCGCGCCAAAATCGATATGGCCCTCAGCGTTGCAGAATTTCTTGCTGAGTCAAACTCTGCAAGCCCTGAGCCATCATAGCCATCCGATACATTGTTTATCGGCCACACTTCGGACACCATTCCCGTGCCCACTCTACTCCTTTGGTAGGGGGCAACTGAGTAGAGGATATCGGACTTCTGGGTAGTAGCTCGCCTGTGCAGATCGACTCCAATATGCTCAGGGCGTTGCATAATATGGTCTACTTGGAGGTTCATGGGTAGTTATAAGTAGGCTTATAAGTAAGGTAACTATAGTTACAACCCATATTAGTGGACTTATAACCCCACTTATAACTAACTACCCATGAACCTCCAAGTAGGGGCTACGGGGGTTTAGGATATCTAAGCCTACGTCCGACACTCCACATCAACTCCAGGTCACGACGCTCCTTCCGCTTACCGAAAAGCCAAACTCCAGAACAAGGCCGGATCACGACTCCAAGTCTTCTAAGCCCGAAGAATGAAACTGTCCATCAACTCGGGCCCAAGACCTAAACCACACTAGAACACCTCTTTGAAGCCCTAAAACCAGAGCCTTAAAAAGGAGCTCTTATAAATAAAAGGGAACCCCTCTACAAGGAGCCCATCAGCCCTAAACCCAAAACCCCAAACCCAGCCCATCAGCCCTAAACCCTAAAACCCTAAACCCTAAGCCCATCAGCCTTGAACTCGTTCAAGAGATTTCGGTAATTCATTCTCAAGTCGATCATGGCCGGGTTCGATCTGGCGAGTCGGGACGTCTTTGGACTTCTGGGTTTAGGGGTTTAGCATTTAGGGTTTTTTTGCCTCCTACTTTTAGGGTTTAGGGTTTGGGGTTTGGGGGTTTCGGGTTTGGGGTTCAGGGTTTAGGGGTTTAGGGTTTAAGGTTCAGCTTGCCAAACACTCTGAGGTTTTTGGTGGTGGAAGGCCTGGCTGGGACTAGGGTGGCCTTAAAGCTAACAGCCCCACACCGAGGGTGAAGAAAATGCAAACATGAAGGAAGAAAGAGAGCAAGCACGTAGATCTTGTGATCTTATATCTCCGCAGTAGGGCATGGATTGCCATGCCAGAGAAGCCTGAAATCCACTCCTCAACGGTCCAACCTCAACCTCAGAGTTAACAGTAGAACCCCAGTCCCTGAAAAAGCACGTAGATCTTGTGATCTTATATCTCCGCAGTAGGGCATGGATTGCCATGCCAGAGAAGCCTGAAATCCACTCCTCAACGGTCCAACCTCAACCTCAGAGTTAACAGTAGAACCCCAGTCCCTGAAGCCCCAATCCACGCAACTCCCGAAGCCCGTTGAATCCTTGTTAACATGTCACCCGAGCTTGTGTTGCTTCGGATTTCCGGGCGAGGTGTACCGCCTGTGACGAGACGAGGTTTGGAGCTTTAGCTACTGGGATTTGCTTTATAGGGTGCTGGGGTCTCTGGAACTCAAGCCTCTGAAGTGGAACTACGATCGGGGAACCAAGCGAACCTACCCGGCCAAGCCCTTGTTTGAAAAGGTTTGGCTCGCCCCAGTCGGACCCAGGACCCCCACTGACCCACTGCACGCGCCTGACATCCAGCTTCATGCGCTTGCCGTAGAGCCGCGTGACCCCGAGTGGGAGGCTCTCCCGATCCACCGTCGAGAGGTCGATCCTTGGTTTTGGGGTTTCTGTGGTTTGGTATGGTCTAGTGGTCTCGTCTTGCTGTGTTTTGTTTACAAGGGGATCTTTCTATGAGTAGACTGGCTTGCCGTGCGCGACACTGAAGCCCCTAACCCTCAGGCCACGCTTAGGGTGTGAGTGTAATGTCAACTCTTGATTAATAAACCTTGGCTGACTTCAGAACCCCAAAAAGTTAAACTTTTAGTCTCCTTATTATCGTTATATAGAAACCCAAAAAGTTAAAGTCCTAAGAGCCAACCAGAAGAACGCCAAGAAACCCCCCGTGATTCAAGGCATCCCCCCGGGCCTCAGACCTGGCTGAAATCATGTGGGTAGTTCTCTAAATTAGGGTCCCTTTTTAGCTCCCCAATATAGTACGGCACCCTCATAAAATAGACCCTAAAAGGAACGCTAATTTAGAGAACTACCCATGTTTTGAAGGCGCTGGCCTCTTCCACCAGAGGGTCGTCGTTGGAAGAAAAAAACGAAAAAACTTGCCCAAACCACCCCCGACTAATGGCAACCAACCTTCTGCCCAAACATCTCCAAAAACCAACTCGCCTGCAGACATAGAAGGGGTTCAGGGTTCAGGGTGTTGAGATTAGAGTTTTAAGGTTTGGGGGCAGGTTGGGGTCCAGGGTTTAGGTTCAGGGTTTAGGGGGAGGTTAGGACAGTCTCTTCAAGGCGTGTCAAGGTTGGCGTTTTCTCATGACTGCCTGCTCAACTTTAGGATGTAAGTTTTTGTTGAACTCCTTTCTCCGCCTAAGGCATCAGGCGTCTACGAAAGACCAAGGTAGGTCAGGAGATTCTAGTTCCCCTTACGAACTTCCGCTTGCCAGGTGGATAAGCTAAGTAGAAAACGAGAACGAAGTAGAAAACCACATCCCAGCTATCACAGGCCCAGCTGTGCAAATATGGTGCGGACGATTCTCAACGCCACCATATCGAAAAGCAACTCGGAAAGAGAAGAGCCCGTGTCGCAGCGCAGCATGTGCCGCCAGGGCATCCATGTTAGACGACCATAAAAAAACACTCAGCATGGCATTGGGCTCACAACTCAGTCATTGTACCTCATGTCCAATCATGATATATAGAGCCACAGCTTGCTCACACGAACGACTGGAAAAGTCAGGGTACCCCGGCCCATGAACCCTGACATTCACATGCTCGCCCAAAACCCATGGCTGCTTTGTCCCTGCTTTCGGAGCGGGCACTCTCCAATGATGATACCTGTTTGGCCAGCTTGCCAAATCACATGACCGCGCCCCGAACTTCCATACCGTTGCTTCCAGCAAGTGCCTTTCCAGCCCCTAGTACGCTCCTGACTAAAAGGGGTTCGTCCATACCAACGATTGCAGCACGGGGTAGATGTGTGCCAGCAAGCGTCCGACCCTGTATCTTTGAAGTCGATGTGATATGATGTGATCCTCCTCAAAAGCATCCGTTTCGCTGTTGTCCAGCTCATCTGAGCTGATGTACCACCCGAAGAATGGTCCTTTCCTCCACTTCCATCCGGAGCATTCTCAACTTCCACCTCATGAAGACCCCTCTTCACAAGCTGCTTCGATGCCAGGTCCACAGCTCTGTAAGGAGCGACTTTATTGCGCCGTCTCCACCTCTTCTTGCCAACCTTCTTGTCTCGTCTTGTCTCCATCCACCGCCGTCGTTAACACATTCTCATCCACGGCCACTGTTGATCCATTCACTGCACCGATGTCATCTTCCTCCTCCAGCATGCAGCATCTGTTCGAGAGCTGTTGTTAGAGCACCTTTTGTTCAGTAACCTTTTCTTCCATCAGCGCCAGGCTCTCCTCCCACATCTCTTGCACCCTCGTAAAACCCTCCTCCAAAGCCTAGTGGTTTGCCCTCTGCAGCCGCTAAGTCTGCTGCAGCGCCCGCGGCATACCAAAGTCCACCTGAGCATCGCCTCCCAGAGCCTGAAGACCAGTCGGCGAGGCAGCGGCACAAACACGCGGTTCCATCCGAAAGCACATGGCGAGGAGGCGGACACTCGTGTGGCTTGAGCTCCTTGAGCCACCTGATCTAGGGATTTAGGGTTTCGGGGGTTGAAGGGTTCAGAGATTGAGGGCTTTTGGAACCGATGCTCCTTCCGACCAGCTCTTGTTTCAAAGTTTCGGGCTCAGGCTTGAGAGGTTTAACAGTTCAGGTGTTAAACATTAAACAGGGCTGGAGTGAAGAAATTCCAGAGCTGGCAAAAAAAAAAGAATATTCAAATGAAAGGCCTATGTAAAACACTCAGTTTTTCAAGCCTGCAAAGGCCTGGCCCAGGCAAGGCAAGCCCCCTGATCCGGCCGCCGCAATCGTGTTTTGCTTGCTTTTGTTTCCGCGACCTTAAACGAGTTAAGGAGACGGCCGTTCCAGTACTAAAGTTGTGCTACCTTAGAACGAAAATCCAGCCGGCCGCCGGAGAAGGAAGGAGTGTTCAATGGCAAGCCCCAAACCCGCCAAATTTATTGGCTGGGGTGTGGGGTTGGATCAGGCCACCAGCTGACCTACGGTAGTCACAAAGGGGAGGGTTATTAATCAAGAGATCCCATTAGTAGCTAAGTGCATCAGGTTGTCTTGGGTTTCGACGAGTCTTGAAGGCTTTGAACTTTCGTGCCGTCCATGCCATGTGCAAACACAACACTCGCCCTGAGGCATCGGCGTGGACGCATTCTGGGACACAGAGCTTCCCAAGTTGGATTTGCCTGAAATGGCAGTAGCGAAGCGGGGTTGGGTCACGGATTCACGCCGCGAACATTTTTGGCTGGGCAATCTTTCTCCTCGAACTAATCCGAACTCTCCAGTCCGCTCTGGAGGCTACACCCCTCACGTTGCACCAATCTGAAACTCGAATCCTCGATCCTGGAACTGACGTTGGGACGGCCTGTCGAAAGCGAGGGCCCAGAAATGCTCCGGTTCATGTCCGCGCCGTGGAACCTCAGTGCTGTCCTCACCCTCGGACACGCCCGATCAAAAAAAGCACGACGAATCACACTTCAATGCAGGCTTCAGGGGCCCAATGGGTCGAACTGAAAGGACTAGTAGCTACAGTGCAAAAGCTTCGACCCTGAACCATCCACCCTTTTCAGCCTTAACCTCCTCTCAAACCCTCTCCACCTGGGGCCCTGGCCGGTCCTAAAACGTCATGCTCTTGCCACGAGAAGTTCAGGGCTCGGATATAAAGCTAGGGCTTCTGCAAGGATGCGTAAGGTTCCCGGAACGCTTCGGTTTTCGACAAGCCTACACCTAGAAGGCAAGCAGTTAGCGGGTTTTTCTTACCGAAGAACACGGATCCAATTCCCGTAGCCTGACGGGAACTTATCGAAGCTGGCTGCTTTCCGACATCGTGCTGCTTACCACAAAAACGCGTCGTGCTGCCATACTTGCGTCATACTACTTCGCTGTGCTTCGTCGCGCCGAAGCGAAATAGCATCGGACATGGAATGCAAAGCAACCCTAAACGGTGCAGCTAACAAGGAGCTAACTTCGCAATGAGTTGACGTCGCAGCATCTGCAGTTTGTTGGACAACACTGAAAGGAAGTCGGACATCAGCCGTGACACATACCAAAAAAAGGCGAAGGTCCTACTTGCTCCCACATGCAGCATGATTGCGATCTGTCGGTCGCCTTCCTGCGGCGCCAGCTGGTGCCTCTGCTATGCGAACCCGTGGTCAATGCGTCTGCAACGGCAAATCGACACATGTCGAAAGCTTGGTGATTCTGCCATCGTTAGTCTCATGAATCTCCGTGCTGAGGGCCAGGCACTGGTCTGGAGTCATTAGCTCCTCATCTAGAAACGGGAAACACTTGGCCAGTCTTTCAGCCTTACTCACACATCGTGGTAGTCGTGGTGGTGGTGCTTGAGGGGTGGCGGTAGCTCGTGGTCGTGGGGTTCTCGTGCCTGTGCTGGTGCTGGTGCTGGTGCTCTGGTGTGCTGGTGTGCTGGTGTGCT